TCCTTTTGCATTTTTTACAAAACGTTTTCTTGGTAGAACTTCTGCTTTGGATCACAACAGTCCACATCCAACAGTGGCTCGTGTACTCCTAACACTTAGGCAGCTGCTAGCATGTCTACAGCCATCCCATCTAACCCTGTTCAAAATACATCCTTGCAAGACAGTGCTCAAAACAACAACAGCTACCGGTACGTTATTGGCAAAAAAGCAAAAAAGAAAAGCAAAAAAAGCCCAGCTTGTTTTATAAACTAAAGATAGGGTCTGTAAATAGAATGACCAGGAGCCTCAATCCACCTTCTGCTTTCAAAGACAAAGACTGAATACTATAGTCCTCAGCCAACCTCTCTCTGTATCTAGGACAAGGCCAGCCTACTCATGATTTCAGGTTTTGAAAAGGCTTTCTGTGAAAATGGTAAGCATCTATTAACTGGAACTGTTCCGATATGCCATGATGAAGCCTTGAAAGACTGATAGCGAGCTCTTCTGAGAACTGCGAGATAAAGCTTTTCTTCCCCATTTGGATATATTATTTCTGTTCACTTTGGAATGAACAGTATCAAAGCATCTAAAAAAACATGCCTGCTTGCACATTTCATGTGTTTTAATTTTATCTTTTGAGCCTATCAGCAACAGAGACCTTGTTGCCTCAGCCATCTTTTACTCCTTTTCACAAGGTGTTTTTTTTTTTTGTGCTAGAGACTCTAGATTTTTCTAGACTCTAAAGTTTTTTTTAGCATTAACTCATCCCCTTTCTAAACTCTATTTTTACAGGGGCCTGTATCTCAACTTACAGTTTATTTAACTCACTGCTTAATGACCTATGATACAATTGTTTAAAGCCTGTATGTTTAGTAATGTTGCAGTAGAATATACAGCCCTTCTTCCTGATCCTTGCACAGCTAACTGCTTAAATATCTATAATGAAAACAAATGTATTGCATTTCACGGCTATGTTTTCCTTAGCTTTCCAGAGAGCAAGGTAAAACAAATTCTACTGTGGAGATCAGCTTTCACAGTTTAAAAGACATACAGAAAGTTCTCACTTTTAAAGTGATTTACTCAATCACTTCCTCCATCTCTCCCTCCAGTTTGCATTTCTTAATAGGAATTTTTATACATAACATTAAAGTGTTTATAATAAGGTAATATGGTTGAAATATGATTTTCCAGAATAAAAACCTTATATATGACTCAAATATGCAAATAACAGTCATCCACACCTCTTCTAAAACTTTTCTCTCTCCCTTAAAAGTTTATCATCTTCCCCTTCCTTATCTGGCTTCTTTGCAGTTTCTGGTGCTTGTGATTATAAATTAATAAACAAAGATACACACACACACACACAACTGGCTTCCCTGCCACAAGAAAACTGTATACAAGGTCTAGCTTTCTAAAGACACCAAGATGAAGAAACAGTACAGTTCCCACTGGTATGGGGGAGTCAGGCGCTCCTCCCCTTATGTTCCTTAGGAGTGTTTCCTGCAAGAGGTTAAACTGATACAGATTTACGTCTCTCCTGCAGAAATGGACCCGACTCACACGGGTACCCATCTGACGTGGAAAAGCACTCATTAGTTTGCTCTGCTCAGCATCTGGAAGCTGCCTGGGAGAGTCACAGACGCAGTCAGTCTCCCTCGAGGAGCTCACCTACTCAACCCGCCTTGAAGACTTCAAGAAGCTCAAGAAATAGCAGCGGACAAGATAAACAGACAACGACCAACAATTCCCGACTCCTCACACAGGTTTTTCTCACAGTCAGCTTTCTGAAGGCTGCCTCGGCAGCGACACAGAGCCCCTCATGTGCGCTCCCACCTGTCGTTATTGCCTCCTTAATGCTGCCAGACTTGCTCCTGCCAGCTGCCTCACTGCCCTTCGAGGGCTGTCAGCCTCTTTTCCACCTCGCAAAATGGGTTCTTAAATATTCTGCAGGAATTTTTAGCCTGTCAGTCAAGTCTGTAAAGGTGTGGTTATAAGAATTTAAGAGAAGTGGGTGCCTGTCCCCAGTGTGATGCCTACTTGCCTTTGTACCGTGCTAGAGAAGGAGGAAAAAGCGGGCATGGTACTTTGGACATATCGTGTCAGACACAGGAGGAGCCAAGAACCACTGCTCCGAACACAGGCAAATTATTATATTACTTCCCTGTGAAGCAACACTTTCCCTCCAGTTCTTGCAGGTGCAAGCATTAATGTCTTGCACGCAGGCATGTTGTACAAAGGCAGGGGTCCACAGCAGCGTTCCTCCGACTGGCCTCCTCTTCCTTCAGCGCGCTGCTGAGATCTGCAGGTCTCGCCGGGCTCAGCCTTACTTACCGTTGTCTATGCAATGGCTGCCGCTGAGCCCTGCACGCGCTGTGATTCAAGATACAGCCGCTTGCCCACAGAAGTGGCCTGTGCAATCTGTCCTCAACGCAGAAGTGTGTGAGCACGCCACCTCACCCGGAGCGCGGCTCTTCCCGTTCTCTGAATATCCCAGCCAATGTGGAGCTGCACCTTTTTTGACCTTTAACCGTACCCTTTCAAGTCAGAGATCAGCTGCTGGCCTCCCTGCGCGCGGCTGGATCCCCACTTGCTGCTGGTGTTCCCAGCAGATACCAGTAATACCTTCAGCCAACACAAGGAAGACTGTACACAAATTTTGGAAAGTTACTTGGGAGGGGAGAAACCTGGATTCTGCTGAATCCTCAGCAAATCCTCAGCAAAATCCTGAGGATTTTGTGATCCCTATATCATAGGCTTAATATTGTACATTGGAAAGTAAAATCAGTTTAAGGAGTGCATGCCGTCTCCTCAGTTGCACGGATAAAACTGCATGCAAGGTAAGGCTGTCAACCAGATTGCTGAGGTGCTGAACATTTAAAAAACATAACCAACTAATCGAACCCCCCCAACAAACTGGTCACTCCTCCTCTGGAGTGATTTTAAACTGCATCACTTTGAAAATTCAGTTTACAATGCAGCATCACAAGCACTTGTAAGAGCACAACTGAAGGAACAGCAAATTTTGATGCAAGGACAGCAACAAGTGGCCAGAGGCAGCAAAACTTCTAAAGCCTATTTTGCAATTGAAGTCAATATACTGTGTGACTAATTTCTAAACCTAATTATTAGAGTAAAGTTTATCTTCAAATAAAAGCTCCTGGGGCCTTGCCATATTCACAAAGTCTGCTGCCTGCCTTTCTTCTTTCAAATCATGGCACCAATTTAAAAAATATATATATGGACACTAAAGCTAGTATTTAAATTCCCAATGCCAAATTACTTTCTCTCCAAAATGCTACAGATATGCAGATCAGACAAACTTCAGCTGGAACGTGGGGTTCTCAGAAGTCCTGAGAAGTCGGAATCTGAAAATCTGGCCTCTCAATATATGTATGTAAGGCACCAATAAATTCTGTTTTTTACACATATTCACAAAGAAAAAGCAAGAGACTGAAATAAGGAAATACTGCACATATTCATATGGACAAGTATCTTATAAAATGAATAACTATGCAATGAAAATCATTAACAATAGAGCCATCTACTGTATTTCAATAAAACTACACCAGTAAAGAAATCTGAAAAAGTTTTAACACATTACAAGTTGAATTTTTCAGAATGTGATCATAATGATTAGCACATCAATTTAAAAGACAAGATAACTTTCTTACACCTCTTAATTAAAAGCAATATTTGCTGGCATAATAATGATCCTTTGTATCTAATGATACTAACTGATTTAGTAGCTGAGCATTTAAAAAACATGAAACGCCTCCCAGTCCACTCGAGGCAGATAAGCATATGCTGTCGTGTAAGGAGACAATGTGGTCAGCAGCAAGCTGAATATTTATTTAAATTTTGACAACTTTTTCTTGCTCCAAAATAAGAAGTATTTCCAGATTTGAGGACATTACAATAGAAAGAAATAAACACAAAAATATGGAACATTTCGAAGTCAGACCAACCCAGTGGTTCTCAGTACAAAATTACATTTCCCTGTACTAACATAACTGAAGTCCCCTCTTTTAGGCACTGCGGATGAAGCAGGTGCTTAGAAGAGTGCAAAGAACAGAACCTTTCACAGCTGGTTCCTAGCTTTGCATCTTAGAGATGGTATTAAACTGCCATCCTGAAAAAAACTAGGGAAACTTGTACCAGTACAGGCCCTAAGCTGCGGAGAGAATATACTGCTATATATCCAACCTCAAATGGGTGCTTCGTCACATTTGGAGTCTGCAACGGCTACAGCTATGCAAAAAAATAATACTTACAAACTACAAGCAGCTCCCAAAAATCCTACTCTGCTCATGGGAACGTGTTTCTTAGCTAAAAGATTCAGAACAAACGATAGACTCCTAAACATCGAGTTAGAAGTAACTCAGTTTTCAAAAACAAGAAAGATCGAACAGTTTTTGAAGCGCTCATTGACTGCTGCTCTGGATGTCGCTGCTCTGGAGTGCACCAGTTAGAACCCAGCCCATTTTCGCACCTACTCAAATAGGTAGTGCTTTCCTCTTGCTGCCTTTCCAGTATAGTTGGTTTCCCAGATCACATCTCACAGATGTGGTTAGAGAAGGTGATCACAAAACACGAACAAGAGTTGTCAGGATGAATCTTCATAGGGAAGTTCTCCCTGTATTTAAAATAGACTTGTGAGCCATCCACCTAAATCACATCAGCGTGCTTTCCCAAACTGCCTGGATAATATGTGCATCTGCCTCAAATGTATGTGTCCCTAATTAAATATACCAAGGATCAGATGTTTGACAACAAATATTATTTTTTCTATAAATTTTGTCATTTAGCAGTTTTAAGTGTTAGGTAACATTTCGTGCAGTTCTTCCAGGTTATACAAAACAAGTGACACTTTAGTACTACACCTGCAACTTCAGTAATTGCTGCATAATACTTTTTGCCTACTATACACAAAACTAAACTTTTGTGACTAGAATTGTTAAGCTCCATAAATAATATAGCAATGAAATTTCTTAGCTTAAAAAAAAATATATATATATATTTACCTGCCATCATAGCTATCATACTGGCTTTGTAGACATTAGCGAGGGACCCTAGTTCACCCGTTGATAAGATTGTTTTCATATGAGCATCTCCACAGGCCTCACGACACTGACGGATCTCTTCATATAGATCTGTGGATAAAAGCATTCAAAAATGATCAAAGTTGGCTGAGAAACATTTTCAAGTATGGCTGTAATTTCCACTTCTGGATTAATTTCCAATCTTATAATTAGTCATAACACTCAAGAACTTAAGTTTCCTAAGTTCAATAAATTGCATGACTGGAGGTAATTAACAATGCCACACAGTTTCAGACTTAACTTAATAGCTATTAATGTCATTTCTCTCACAACTAAGAATGTTCACAGTACGCCGAACACTTGTGAATATGTCAGGAGTAAAATACTACGATATTCAAGCTTTTGCAGCGTATTTTCAGTATTGATTTTAAAGTAGCTTTTCTAGCAATAAATACATTAGCAAACTGAATTGGTACTCAGGGAGAGTTATGTTTGCCTGTATACATCATGTCGCCAATCTCTCTGTCCCCTTCAACTGTATTTGCCAAAGGGCTAAGACTAAAAATAATGAAAAAAAAAAAAACCCACAAAACCACAGGTGGGATCCAGCTGTCTAATTACAGACAGTGAGTGCCACCAGAGATGCCCTAGCATAACCCACCTGGCTTCCAGCTGCCACTGAGGAGGGTCCACGTTCCCTCAATATTTCATTGCTGTATTATTTATGGAGCTTCTGCCCCACCTCCTGGTACCACAGGACTATCTCGGGAAGTCTAAACTACATGCTTTCACTTAGGCATCTGAATGCCACGGTTTTCAGTTTCCTGAAAATAAGAATTTCCTGGAAACACGCAGCCTGATCAACTTGGGCTACTAATATCCCCACAGAGGGGAGACTAAAACTTGAGATCGTACCTTCTCGAGCAGAGACTTCTCCCCATGGATCTGCATTTATAAACTAGCTCAAGCCGTTGCAAAGCTCGTGGGGTTACCTAGGACATGGATCAGCACATAGCGTCCTAAAACGGTTCGGGGGAGGGTCGAGCAAACACCGCGGCAGGGAGGACACAGGACTACTCAGCAGAGGGCCACAGGCATAACAGCAGCCAGAAGTTAGGTCAGCTCAGCTGAGCTCGCTGTGGGACTACAGTTCCTAAACTTGAACTCAGGCCCTAGCTCTGCCAAACTTCTGGGCTACTTTTCTCACCATGTTGCCTTATAGTCCAAATTTATCCTTAGATGACGTACGCATTTCTCAGTAAAGTTACTGGGAATCACAGGCTCCAAGGGCAGAACTGGACCCTCACTTTTGATCCACACGCTCACCAAGAAAACTGGCTGCAATTTAGGAAGGAGACTTTTCACAACCCACCATATACGCAAGCATTGCCATTCACACTGACACATGCCATGGGAATGAATTATTTAAAGCGCACCTGTAGACTGGAAACAAAGCAGGCTATTATCTGTGTATCTTAATGCAACCCGTAAAATGAAAAGCAGAACTTGTCCCAGAGCTGTCACTTCCTCCTCACAGAGAGCACCCACTCGCTTTGAGGGGCTCTAACAGTCTTTCTTCTGGGTTTTAACTTCCCTTAGCTCTCACCTCCAAGCAGTGAGCTTGTCTCTTGAGGCTAACCATCACACATCCCACCTAGCTATAGCTTCTTTAAAAACTCTACTCAACCTTTCGGCACCAGGCTGCAGCCACAGAGAAGCAGGAACAGGTAGGCCAGGCCAATATGTGACTGCTTATTGAGAGTTTACTCAAATCAAACCACCACAAGCTTCTGCTTTTGAGTCTACAAACCATCATGGCAAAAGGTACTCTAACTTTCCAACAGTGTTATATTTTCACAGACTCATTCCAGTAGGAACTAAAACAAACTTGGACCTAACTGACAATATATTTTTTAAAGTGCTAGAACCTCTGGGCCCGGTCAGGTAGTGAAACACGAGGAGCACAGGGAAATCAACCTTCCTACCCTCTTTAGCAAAATTCAATGGCTTGCCCACAAAAAGCTAGAAATTATCTAAACATGCATTTGTCAGAAGCTGGCTACTTGGAGATGATTAAAACTCATTCACTGTTAATGGTGCCAAGAAAAATGGATCTTGCAGTGTACAGTCACCATTTCTGGAGCTCAAATAAAAAAAAAAAGACACAAAATAAACAGAATCCCTTACAAGAGGATCTTTTCCATAAATTGTACTCACTCTTTAAATATTTAATTTATTCAATACTTATTTAATATTTAATTTAATAAATACTTAATTGAAAAGTTAATTTACAGAAGGCTAAAATACAGCTTTTCATTTGCCTTTCTTGCCAGAAATGTCCAGGATACGGGTATGTGAGACTAAATTTATTCAGAAGTACAACCAGCTTTCTTTTGCCTTCAGTCCTCAAATGAGACTTGGAAACTTCCAGGAGGACTGGCCAGCCTGCTGTATAGCTGGACCTCCCCTCCACCCACGATACCGCCGGATCCTATTGATGCCCTTGGCACATCAAGCAGCCGGTGCTGGGATCACTGCGGTGCTCCTCTGAGACAGCATGCTAAGCCTATTAGTAGACAACGGGCTAATGCACTTAGCAAGTCCCTTTATAGACTCTGGTCTTCACCTTGTTTCTCACTGCGTACCAAAGGTGTGAATTAATCAGAACTAGCATGCAGTCTAACATGTTTTATTGATCAACTGATGATACTCCAGAAACCTTCTACATCAAATCAAGACTCAAAAAAAGAAATACAAAGAACCTGTGCTATTTTCTTGTGCATTTGATAACACTGCTCATGTTAAATCCAAATGCAGTCTCTCTTTGTGGAGTGATGCTTTCCTGAAGCCTTTGGAAAGCCAGAGAAAGCAGCTTTCATGTTCCTCTAGTTTCGGTAACAACAAGAAAAGACTCAAGTTTTCTCTACCTTTAAGATACGCCGCCAAAAATGTCAAAACAAAATCAACAGAATGTACGTTTAGGTTGGATGCCATGAAAGGAAATTATATCTTCATGACTGTTGTTCACTGAAGTTAGCGCTGCAGCTACAGCATCCTCCCTATTGTTGGAAACTGCTCTTACACGCAATTAGTGCCAAGATCATTTGAACAGTCTCACTATGTGACAGCATGCCTCAACCCACGGGCACGAAAATGTGAGGATCTTCAGTCATCTGTGTCTATCAGGTTATCCAAAGTGATAGCATAGTGGGCATAATTTAATGGGGCATATGTGTAGGTAATAAATACCGTTCTCTCTTCAGAGAACAATTATCACAGACAATATCTGGCATTCATAGGACATCCTCAGCCCTGCAGTAAAAGCACAAATAGAAATGCAACTACCTGCAGGACAGAGAAAATTAACTTGAGCGCCCCAGCCTGAAAAACATCAAAAAGGGACTGCTTTGATAAAAAACAAGTGCAAAAATTCCTACTCCTTCAAGAAATAAGAGGTTTCAGTACTCACTCAGATTTAAGTCAAATGACAAACAACTTTTTATTATCTTGAAACTTCTCGTCAAATGTCTAAAATATACCTGGAGTTAACCACACCTAGACGTGCACTCAGTGTTTCAAGGAGGCTTGAGCTCCTTCTAGGACAGGCTGTGCTTGCCAAAAGGTCAGTCATTTAATTACTCAGTTCTGTCAAGCCCACCAACACCAGGAGTCTAAACAGGACGGCATCTCTGTACTATTAAGGCTAGCTCAAGCAGAGTTGGAGGATCTGGTTCTTGGAACAACTGTGACTTACACAGCTCCCCAATAGTTGATACAGCAGGTAGAGCTTCTCTGGTTAGCAGCAGTGGCAGCAAGCTTTTGAGCAAACCGGCTTTCACAGAAAACCTGATAGGCATATTTTCAGGTGTGACCTAAGACCAACATGAAGAGGTTGCAGGAGAGCCTCAGTTCTAAGTTGCTAAAGTGTGTGTGTGTGTGTGGGGGGGGGGGGATAAGAAAGTAAACTGCCAATACTGCTGTAGCATTGAAAGATGCTGTAGCATCTTGAAAATGGAGCATTATCCATGTTAGAAGTCATCCAAGTCTTAAGTCAAGGAAAAAAAAAAAGAAAACAAGACAATTTGTATACATTATATTAAAGGATAGGTGCTCACTGATGTAGCCTGTAGGAGCTCCACTGACTCAGCTGTTAAAACGGGAGGGACATACGAACTCTTCTGCTTTGCACCCCCTTACGGTATCTTTTTACTCCTATGAACTTCAAATCTGCTTCTATTGGATGCATTTCTAGAAGTCAGAAAAAAATAGGTTTAACAGTACCAAATAGGAAAGATCAACACACTTTCATTGCTGTTGTTTTAATTCCACTGTTTTAAAAGATATGTGTCAGAAGGCTGTTTTTTTTTTCTTTTTTAAAAAAAATTTCCAACTATCCAGTACAAACATTCCATTGATTTTTAGCCATTATTAAATGCAACAGAGAAAACGTGCCTTACACGTTTCTCAAGCAAACATCCCTATCAGTATCCCCTTACTGCTGGCTGTAATTCGCCCTAATAGTCTAGATGATTTGTTGTTGTGGTCTGATAACCTCTTCCTAAAAATCACATAATAAATGGGGATAATCCATACCGTCTACAGAAGAGATAAAAATATTACAGGAAAAAAAAAAAAACCACAGCTTAAATTGTGGTTTTTTTTTTTTTGGAACAACTCTTCTCGAAAAATGTGGTGATAAAAAAAAAACAGCTTATTTGGTGTTTTCATCTAGCCAGTCACACTGACTGATGTTAATGGCAGAGACTGCAATGAGGAGGGAAGACGTTTCAATTTTTGTTAGACCCCAAGATCAAGGTAATCGTGAGGTGAAAGAGGAGGATGAGCCAGAATCCCTTCCGTCTTGCACATCAACGGCAGGTTTGTCAGCATAACGCCGAGCACGAGGCCACCAGCTCTGCTCGCAGTCACATAGGTGCAACTCCCGGCCACAGGGACTCACACGAACCCGAAAACAGCACTTGGCTTCAGGAACCTGCGCTGCTGCCGACAACGTAAGACACAAATAGGCGCAACTAGGCTTTGAGGTTCCAATTCAGGCTGCAAATCTCGAAAATGGTAAAGCCCGGCTACTAACATTTTTCAAAAGACCCTACGTGTTGTTCAATGTCTGAAACAGGGACTGCATTTTCTTTGCACTGTTTATAGACTCTGTAGCACAAAAGAGTGCCCCAATCCCTGAAGGAGGCCTCTAAAATTAATTGAATAATTAATAACAAGAATTGTTAGGCAGCTTTCAAAAGGTGAATAGACTTAACATATTTCAGGAATGCAGCCATGTTCAAAGCTCTTACAGTGTATTTGTTTTTTGTTTTTTGTTTTTTTTTTTTAAGAGAAAACAGCAACTGACATAGCCCAAATGGTAGGTTATCGAGAACTCAGGAGTAGCGGATGCTACAGTATGCAGAGTCGTTTGCTGAAAGCTGTTAGCACTGGTTACACATTATGGCATCTCAGCCAGCTTTACTGTAACTCCAAAGTATTTATGGATAACAGCCAAAAAGATTCAGGTCCTTTCAATAACTTGCTGGTCAACTTCATAACTCTGTACATAATAGCCTCCAAAACTCTGTTTTTACAGACACTATTTAAATCCTGCTTTTTAACCTTAGTTCATACTTTGTAAAGTGATACAAGGCAATGCTTGAGAAAACTACTGTAAAATATTATTGCTCTAAAAGATAATAGGTTTTTAAAGGTATATATGTGTAAGTTCATAAACTTAAATCGCATTTAGGGTTATTTTCCAACCTCAATTAGCTGTCCAATAAATTTGCTTTCATGCTCAGCATTATTAAAAAGCTCTTAGCAATTATCGCATAAAGAACAGATCTAGAAAATGTATGGTGAATGTCAAAATAAGTTTCAACAATATTTAAGAACTGCTTTAAAATAACTTGACATAATCGGACACACACTAAAATAATCATACAGCAAGCTTTTGAAACAAATCATAAAACTCGCAAGAGATGCAACACTTCTCCAACATGGTGGCCCCAATGATTGCACAGTCTAGGAAAAAAGCTAAAAAATATATAAATAAAATAAATAAATAGATATAATAAAATAAACACTCTACCACAAACAGTTTTGTCAATAATACCTGCAGTTTTGAAGAACAACAGCACGAGAAAAATAACCATAAAAATACACTAGTGTTGTCAGTTTACGCAGTGGTTCTGTCCTAACTGCAAAGCTAAAGTTTAAAGCTAAAGTTTATGGAGTACCTTGAATACAGACATAGTTACCACCCTAGGCACGTTTTTCATTTTTATATAATATACGGATCCTGCTTAGAGATTTCTTCGTCTCTTCTTCCAGCTCCCTCAAACACACTTTATACACTGTAGTGTATCACAAATACCCATTAGGTACAGTTAGAAAACTACAGGTTCACACAGGTAGCATATAGCGATTGCAAGCTAAACAGGGAGTTGCAACACGAGAATTTCAAAAAAAAAAAAAAAAAAGACATTCTACTGAAGTAATTTGGGGTGGATGGGCAAGTTAAGTATTAGCGTTTTTCCCCCATAGCACCATCTTCATCAGATGGCAAGTAGATTCTGTTCCTGAGGTTGGGGTGTTTTTTTCGTGGCAATGTAAGGATGCGCCTTACACACAGATTCACATTCATAAATAAACTTTGGGAAAATATTTGGAAATAACTTCAGTTCTGCTCTCGGTAAAAGAAATGTAAGTTAACCATTGCCAAAAAGGATGTCTTTCAAGCTTCTCATGACTTCAGTTTGTGAATAAAGAATATACATACCAAATCAAAAGTCAATTCTAATTTACTTATTTGGTAAATTAACAGCTTTATACTACATCCATCATTACTGTGCCTGTGTACTCCTCCCCCATAATTTATGATCACAGAACACAATTAGTTTCCCATACAGAAAAACCTAGCAACATATGTCCAGCGCATTGTAATTCCAGTTTCATTTCAATCACCAATGTCAAGTCTGGATCTAGCTCTGAATTTTCGCTCTGAATTTCCTTGTCGTAATCCTGGGCAATATAACCTAGAGACGGTATTTGCAACTGGCTGCACGCAGTAACTTTCTGACCTCTGCGCTTAAAGGCTGTTTGCGCTTAAAGGCTGTTTGTAGCACAATGCAGTAACTTTCTGACCTCTGCGCTATGTAACTTGCGCTTAAAGGCTGTTTGTAGCACAAGGTCTGAAGCATGGCAACTATAATTATGTCTGAAAATTGCTATAAGACAGTTACAAACTTTTTCAGACACCAGTTCAAGTTGCTGCTCAAGTCCCGTTTGGTGGTCTTTGTTCAGTCATAGCGACAGATCACTGACTCAGCTCATCTAAAACCTGTATCTAAAACTCAGTATCTAAAACCTGTATGTGTCCCCACCACCTGTGTGTGTGCGCGTGTGTGTGCCTGTTGGGGGGAGCCTGGCTGCCAGCTGGTACGGAATTTGCACCACCGTTCTGTCTGTCTTAAAACCCTTCAACCTTCACCTTCCAGCATTTTCTGAGGCTGTATCCAAACTTCAAACAACTACATGGAAAGAAACGGATGCCGGGGACAATGCCCATCATCAAGGCGGCACACATCTGTAAACCTGCATATATTCAAGGGCCAGGGGATGGAGGTGGTGGATGTCGTGGAGATGGAGCAGCAAATGGAGCCAGGACCATTCTTGAAGGCACAAATGCAGAAAGAGACTTGTTATTTTTTTGTTCAACTCTAACTGCTAATGGAAGGAAGCCCAAGGTCAGAAAATATGATCTGTTACCATGATGATCAACTTTCCTTAACCAAACTCAGGTGCCAGGTGTCCTTTATGCAGTGTTCCAATCAACCAGGCTACTACAGTACTGCATTACACAGCTAAATGGAAAATTCACTCCAAGACAATGATGTGTTTACCTTTACATGGAGATTAGTTATAGAAGCACTGTCAGCACTTAAGGCAAACCATTCACAGTACATTAAGAGAGGCAATTAGAGCAAAAACCATCTTCAGCATTATTGTTCTTACTAATTAGTAGTAGTCTAGAGACACAAGAACATCAATAATAATATGAGCAGTGAATTTGTACCCTCCGCTTCCAGGGAAAAGAAAACAACTAAAATACATATTTTTGTCAAGAACTGAAACAGATATATTTAATAAGGCATCATCTACATTGGTAGCCCCTTGGGGGTTTTAACAAAACTGTTCAAATAATTAGACCATAGGCATTCACTTTTCTTCCAGTTCACTTACTATTTTTAATACCGTACACAAAATCCTCAGAGGCACAGAAGTAATGGACACAGTTTTTCAAAACATAAAGTTATTCTGAACGCCCTCCCTTATGCAACTTGTAACAGCATTCTTTTAAAAAACAATCTGTTTGTCATAAATTAATTAAACAGTTTTTATTTAGTGCAATGCCCCAGATTATCAGCCACTCTTTAGGGAGGGACCAAATTCTTCAAGGACAGATGTGGGGAGAGGGGGAAGAGACAAAGACAGAGCTTGCATGATCATATACACAGGCTTAGGTCCCTTGCCTAAGGGTACATACCTTCCCACTGGCCAGTCAGCACCAGAGTCCTGTTAATGACAATATCAATCTCTCTGGCACCATATCCCACTGCCAGCTTTATTTCATCCAGTCTGGTTTGTAGAGGCATTTGCCCAGAGGGAAAACCAGCAGCCACTAGGAAGAACGGGAATTGAGGGGAGAGAAAAGTTGTTTATAGACAGATCATAAAACTGTATATGCCTCCAATACATCAAAAAGTTTGTAACCTATTCTTTTTTTTTTCCCCCTTACCATAGATTCTCAAAAAATCTAGTGGCACTTCATCCTTCCCTCTCTTCATCACAAGAAGCATTAGCTCCTCCTCCAAGAACAGGTACTTTGTCCAGTATTTTATCTGATGCTAAGCGTATCCTGCAAAGCGGTCTCTTTCACGTGCCTTTAATTTTCCCAAAGCAGCCTAAGTAAGGAAGAACTGTTATCTACCGCCTCCGGCAGAACTAAACGAACACGGGTGGAACTCACATGGAGCAATATACACTTATTTAACTCTGCCCAATTCTTTTAAGTAGTATTTTGAGTTAAAGCCCAGTAATATTTTTAACAGCTAAATCATAATATAGTAAAAACTGCTTGCAATGAGATCTACTTAAAATTACCTTTGTAATGTTTCAGTACAAAACCCAAAAGTAACTTTGGAAGTAGAAGAAATAATGGCTTTGCTGGAAATTCTCTCTCTGACAGACAAATGCATTTATTATTCATTTTTTCCCCCCACAACAATGAAATAAACAAAAAAAAAATCCAGAAGACATGGATATCACCATGAATCACCTGATCTAACTTCAAAGTTAGCCCCTGCTTTGAGCAGGGGGTTGGGGTAGATGACATCCAGAGCTCCCTTCCAACCTGCATAATTCTATGATTCTATTTCTCGCTCATTGTAGATTCAGGACTGGTCTTTCCTGTGCGGTGAATGGAGACTGTTAGAAGTGAGAGTGCAAGTCCTGAGCCTGCAGATGCTCAGCAGACAATAACCCTTGCCTCTGCACACAGCGTCAGTGAATTCAACTTGTAGGATTATACTTAAAAGCCAAACAACTGACAGGGAAAAAGTTATATTAGAATCTTTTAACTCGCATATTTCAGTTTTGTTATTATTAACATCTACCTGTTGTCTAATAATACTTTATCCAGCACACTATCTCAGTCCCTTCAGTTCAGGTGAGGGAGACACTGATATATGTCTTAAAGACCTCTATGAAGAGCTTCCAGCAAAACAGACTTGGCATAAGCTTGAAGTCAAAACAAAACAAAAAGATGATAGCAAAAGCAAATCCTCCCCTCCATTCCCTTCCTTCTACTTGCAACCCTTCCACCTTACACTCCAAAACAAGTCCCAACTTCCAGATTTTACTACGTAGTTTATATTTAATCGGGTATGAGTCCCTTATTTTAAAATAAAACTTCTTACCTGAAGCTACTGGTATGTTACATCCGGCAGCCTTTAGGGCACTAACAGCATCAGTGACTCTAGCAGGATATACACAGACTGCTGCAACAGTAATACCTGCAAGTAGAGTTCACTTTATATATATAAATATATATATATTTTTTTTTTCACTGTCTTAAGCACAATCCATATCATAAGCACATGTGCATTGTTTGCACCTCCCACTTTTGTATTCTCGCAGGGATCCTCAGCACCTCTACTAGGGATATCTGTTTTATTGCTCAAGCCATTCAGCTGACTCTCCGTATTGTTTATCTCCCTCATGTCCTTTCACCTGACCCTGGGAACAAGTTTGCCTTACCAAGAGTCAAAACACCAAAAATTTTTACTCGACAAATTCACTGCTTAATGGTAGCATATACAGTTAAGATGTGTTTAGCCAGTAATTTACTGTGAGAGAAACTGTGCTGCCCAACTCTGTCCATGCTTGCTGACCTGCCTGAACCCGGCAGCAACTGAACTCTCCTTATGCTAATACAGTTCCCCTGCATTTCTAGTTAAAAAGCTATTCATTCAAAGTCTCAGATAACTGGCCTCATATTTAATATGTCATACCTGTCATCTTTAGTGTCCATAATTCAAGTTTTAAAAAAAGACTAATCTTTGATATTTTACGCGTATGGCTAGAAACCAGATTCCCCTTTGGTTTTACAACATATGACTTCAATCAGTAGGCCAATGCCAATGTAAAATTGAAATATTTCAATTGTAAAAGCATTACCCCAAATGTCACTGAGTTCCTTTTTGCTAGATCCTCATGAGGCCAACATGACAGGACAAAAGTCAAACGGCATTCACTGACACATAAGTGGAAAAAGTCAAAAGTGCTGCTCATATATGAAGGGGTTTATAACTGATTAAAGAGAAGTGTAAGCGTTTTAACGACAGTCCTAATTTGCTGTGAAGTTGCATCTGATTCAGTCTTGGGTGTAATATTTAAACTTCAGATGGGGCCTGTTTGAGCAAGATGTTTAGTAATGTCAATGAAAGCTTTACCATCAATTTTTAAGGGCTGTCCTCTGCCCATTCAGGCTTTTCAATTTTGCCAAGAGCTCTGTTTGTGTATCACATATATGCACACTTTATATATGCATTCACTATAGGACTGATTCCTTAAAGCAGACTGAGCTGCAAAGGTGTCTCCTATCTTAATTACTGAAATAAGAAGTGACAGGTAATGTTTTCTAAAGGAAAAAATAACATGTTTAGAACAGCAGACTACATCTTTTCTGAGAGGCAAAGTGGCAGGCTCTGTAGTTACATAGAGAAACATCAGCTAAGCATGAAATCTGAAGTAGCCACGTGAACATCCCTCCCCCCTTCTCCGATTTAGTAAGGACATCAACAGATTAACAGAATACTCGAACAATTAGTTTCACCCTAGTGCACTGTTATTAAAAGACATACACTGAGGTTACACACTTATGGCTTCCATATGAAATTTGCTCATTATGCATCACAAATTAGAGTGTCTCCCTGAGTCCATGCTTCATTTTAGTTCCCCAAAAGAATGAATTTTTTCTCCTTGTATTCTTCTGTCACCTCAAGGGAATAGATATTTTGCAGTTTCTTTGAATAAGAGCACATGGGACCTAGCTTGTTCCCTCAGAATTATTCGTTGTGCAGCACTGCCTACCATAATTGCTTCTGTGGTAGAAAGAAGAGGCGATTTTTACATCTGAAGACTGAAAAATACTGAGGCATTTCTCAGGCAGGCATTTTCTCTACGCGATAAAGAGAACTAAAACCAACCTACCTTTTTCATGCATGTCCATGGCTTTCAGCAGATCCTCTCTGATGGGATGCTTAGCTTTGTAACACATTCTGTGAACGTTTGAAGGAGTATCATCACCTGAAAGAGTGGTAAGGTCCATGCAGGTGACAGCTTTGAGCAGCCAAGCAGCCTGCACAGAGAGTGAAGAAAGTATTTTAGCTTATTTTTCCAAAGCCAAAGTGATTTAGAAGTTCTAGGAATCAGAAGATTGGATATCCCTGGGAATCAATTGCGCTTTTTAGAAAATAATCTCTAAGAATCAGGAAACATATGGGATATAACATGGAAGATATGCAAAGAATGGTTAACAACAGATGAGGATGGAAGAAATGTGTTCGTGTCTAAAGCGATATCTAATGGCGGAAAAAGGATTGGGAATCAAAAGTCCCCTAAAGGATAACTAAAGGATCAATTCCAATTTTTGGCACACAATTTTTAGTGCAAAAGCTGAATAACCAAATAAGGCTCTTCACAAGAGCCAGAGATCCTTGTTTTGTAGAAGTAAATGTGAAACAAGATGCTCATCTAAAAACATCTATCTGAGCAACCCCATTGTTATAACATGCTCCATTCTGTACAGCGTGTCTCCTTCAAAGCTTGTATGCCTGTGAACATATATGTATGCTTCCAAAGGAGCACAGGTTCGTGACTGCAAATAACCAGATGAACGTGCACATCAGCAATTTACACACTTGAATCCATTTGGAGGCTTGTCCTCCTGCGAGAGTGAAACTTGGAGTCAGTGGGAGGTAAGAACATATGCTTCATGGAACTTGGGGTCAAGTCTCCAGATGTTTCCACTTTCTTTTGTGTGAAACTGGGATAAAAACATCTGTAATCATTTGATGCAAAAAACAAAGAGCTAAATGGCAGGGCTAAAGCACTCTTTAGATGAAAACGCTACAGAATTTCAAAGAATTACTAATCAGAGAATGCAATGGAAACACAACGAAAAATTGTTCAACTTTTTCTGTTGAGTAAAAAAACTGAACGTGAGGCATTATTTTGAAATATTTATCGAAGCATTTCCAGTGAATTTTCATTTACAGGGACAGTTTCACTAGAAGCTGGTGGCCTTTAGCGGGCCATTTGTTCAGCAAGGGAAGAGCTTGCAATGGCTAAAGTCTGTAAAGCAGCATCATGTGGCAGTGCCTCCCTGGCCGTTCCACTCTGTGACATGACTTGTCAGTACCTGCAGCAAAACTTCTTGTTTCTGCATGGAGGCACTGCCCTGCAAACCTTAACAGGCTGTCCACCTTACAAATCTTTCACATGTGGCCAAGGAGACTTAGCCTTAGCCCTTCTGAACTTGTTTTATTAGTAAATACTGCACTGGAATCTGGCCTGGGGTTACTGAACTGAATAATGTTAACTGAGTAACTGCTAGTGGTCTCTGAGAGTCTGCTAAGTTTGACTGCTTGTTTCTGACTGCTACTTTTACCCTATAACACTTTAAAAGTTTTTCACTTTAAATGGTTTTCAGTTTCTTCTACTGGATTTTTTTTATCCTTCACTCGAGGGAATTTTTGTCTCATCTCTTATGACATGAATCATAAAGTCATCAAGACAGATGTCGCAAGAGAGTTCCAAGAACTGGTACGAACTTCATTTTTTACAGGGTTTTTAAAATGTATATTTTGGGATACGGGCTTGACAATTTGAATCTGTAGCGTTACTTACAATCAAACATGTAAAGGTTCGAGATCATCTCGTGAAATAAACAGCACATGACTATCCCACAAGGACAGTGTTCAAATAAAGTAGAGATGCTTCTGAAAATAATCTCTTGGTATTCTTCAAAGTAAATCCACGCTTGCATAGCTTGATACCAATGTTACCACAAGGGAAAGTGGAGATGTGTTTGTAACGAGTAAACATTCGTCCTACAGCCATATTGAGGGAGGGACACCAAATCCCTCTCTTCCAAATTATTCTCTCTTGTAATCAAAGACTGTGGTTCTCTATTCCTTCGTTCTTTATATAGTCATTCCTGCCAAATTAAAAGACTTGTTTTTTACGTATGCTGCACCTGAAGTATCTGAAGGTAGCCAAGGCTGGGAAACACCCTCAGGGTTTTCTCACTGACACTATCTCCCAACCTAGAGCCATAGTACTGTTAAACTTAGTATCAAGTGACCTTGTGTGTGTAAGAAGGTCTTGGGAAATGCTGAACTAGCATCTAACCTTCCTCAGTTTGGGTCCATTTCTTATTTAATTATAACATTCATAGCACAGACTCTCAGGTTCATGCCACAGGCTGGAAGCTCTTTTCTATCCCCCCTCCAGTATGATCTTACATAGTTGTATCAAATTATTCCTGAACTGCAGCCCACAGCATTTCTGCTCGTTGCAAACGTAGCTTTGGCCACCCCAGAACGACTGCCTGCCATGCTAAGCTCAGAAGGCCAACCACCTTGAACAATCATTTGATGAATTCAGAATAATTAAACAAATCTTTCTGTGCTCTATTATGTCGCACTGTCACGACTGAGCCTCCTTCTTCTCCTCCCTCCTACTCCAAGGTTATCAGTTACCGTTGCAAGGAAACAAGTATGAAGTATTTATCCTTGCTCACTGTACACTGGGGAGGAATCACATGTTTGCTTGCAGAAGAGCTGCTCGGTGAACGTCTAACCAGTTGTCCTTTAGACACCAGTTGCAACCTGTAGCCGAGGCACAGTAACTGGGAGCTCCGGGTCTGTCCCAGGGCATTTCCCAGACCTGCCCCTTGCAGTCCTGCGGAAGGCAGCCAAAGCACAGCAGGCACCTTCGCATCCAGCTCCGCCCGGGGTTTCTTTTTCCCTTTCCGGCAGCCAAGGTAGCCGAAGCCAGCATGTGGCCATGCCTTTCCTGCTTCATTTCACAGCCCGGAGCATTAGCTCATTTGCTGACCTTTCATTTGCTGAACTTGAGAAACTGCAGTGGACCTTGGGTCAGCATCTGCCAACTCTGCCAGGAGGGCAGTAACAGCAGAGGCTGACGGTAACTTTTAAGACACTGAACACGTGTTCAACAAATGCAAGGCAGAGCCTTGAAGAAAACTTTATTTTTATACTAGCAGTTTTACCAGTAGCTTACAGTAAGTGATCGGTTGTTGTCCATGTTAGTGTACAGTAGGTTCATGTATCTGAGCAGTCGAGAAGTCAGCCCTCTTAACATAAACGTGCTCCCTCACCCCTGCTCAAGCCCCACAGCCAGTTAGATATTTTGAGTTTTAGGTAAGAAAGGGTTAAGCAAAGGAATCACACATGTTGGGGATCTTTAAGTAAAGAACAATTATCAAGGTAGGTCAAACTTGACAGGGACCACGATCATATCTTATAACTCCAGAATTAAAAAATAAGAAGGCTGAGTGCAGAGAAATCTGCCTGGGAAACAGAATAAATGTGGTGGGATAGTTTAATCCACTCATGAATAAAGATGACAAATTCATTTGTGGTTTTGCCACTCATGAGTTATAAGGTTTTTAACTTGTGTGGATAAATGCGTCACCTTATTCCATCCCATCATCATCAAATACAAATTATTAAAATAAGACATGGACAAGCACAATCTTTTAAGTTTACATGCATCTTGAACAAAATTCAATATTGCAGCCTAGAGAGGGAGAGTGACTGCTTTAAAAAATACAGGAACAGAATGCATAAAAAGAGCACTTACTTGCCAATTGCTTTTCACAGTTCTCCGTGTCTGAATTCGTTCAGCATGCCTTAGAACTGCAGGTTGATTCACATGCACTTTTGAGATCCAGCCAAGTTCTGGGGTGGGGGGGAGAGAAAAAAAAAGCCTCAGCTATTTTTGTGTTCTTTTAATATACTATATGGGACTTCAGAAGAAAGTTGTAGCTTGGTTCGGGTCCTCTGAAGAAAATGTTGTGCTTTCATGTCCTTTTAAGGGCTTGCATACTTCTCATCACTCCAAAATATCATAATAGCCTTAACTTCTGTCAGGGATGGTCTGTTAGCCGGTGTTTCACACAGCATGTTTTGTTTGCTGTCACAGCTGAATTGCCTTATTGCTGGTGAGAGATCTATATATCCATTCCTGTACTATAAAGTATATTACATACGTAGTAGATAAAAACACACAAAATAGCCTTCTGTCATTGCCCATTGATGTACTTCTTGACTCTAGAGCAAGAAATCATTTTTTTCAGCCCTTGGCTGTTCTGCTTGCACCCAGCATACAACAGCATTTTGTGCATGTGTGCAAACTTCCGTCTACGGGAACGGTATCCCACACGGTCACCAAACCTTTCCGAGCGCTTCAGAGGACTTGGGGCAACATGTTCAATGTGTGAATTCATTCAGGTGCCCACTGCAGACAGTCTGGCTCTAACTTTTAGTGAGTTTCAGTATCCACAAGCAATAATCAGAGTCAAAGAGAAATGGGTACTCAACATTATCTAGAAATCTATTTTTGAAACTCTCCAAAAATACAGGCACCAAGAACTGGACACCTCTGAAAGAAGGCTAACTGACTGACAAAGGAGAACAGAGGGTGCAGGCCCTTGAACCTTGAAATTTCTGCTCAGCAGAAGAAATCAAACATATAATTTTGCACGTGAATGAACACAAAATCAAGTCCTCCTGTTCACAGAATGTAGATAAATAAAAGAAAAAAGGAACGTCTTTAAAACCTCTAACATCCCCAAACAGAACAAACTCTTCTAAATACTAATCATATAACTAAGCCATGAAAACACTGTCAAGACAACATCTGTGATCATCAACCACCAGTCATCAACCAGTCACCACCATCAATACCAATCACCAATTACCACCAACTAAGGACAGTATAAGGACATAGGTTCCAATGCTAATTAATAATTCTAGGTGACATAATTTGTTAAGAGCATCTCATCTCTGGGAGTCGTCTTCTTTACTGTATTAAACTTGCAGTTCCTTCAAGCACATTGATTAAAAAAGGTTTAAAACCTAACAGGTGGGCAGCCCAAATCTTCGGGATTCCCAATATCTTAGGGAAATATTGTCCCCCTGTTTTCTCTTCCCACTTTTTTGTTTTAACAACACATAGAAGTGCAGAGCTAATACACTAGCTAAAGTATGTCTAAACACAAGCTTGTTTTCCTAATAAGACTTTAACAAGCTCAGGAGAAACCAAGCCAGGCTAAAACTGACACAGAGGAAATACAGGACAAGGGCATGAAACACAGCTAAACTAAATCTTGGTATCAGCACAGTGAACCACTTTGCTACTACTTCCTTACTACCACATATAAGTAATTAAATAATTAGCACCTGCAGGGACAAAATATTGGCCAAAAGCAGCAAAAGTAAACCAAATAAAGAAAAGGTCATTAGGAATTTTTAGGATTTCCATTAGGACTTAATATCAGTCTCACCATATAGTTAAAAAGAAAAGGAGGAGCTTGCAAAGCTGCAAACCAGCCTAACAGCAAACCCTCAATAAGCCTCTTCACTTTATAAGCCACAGGCTTATTCATTCTGTCTCAAATGCAAGAATCTCCTCTGACATGTAGAAAGCAGCTGAGAAAAGCTTTTGCTACAAAACCCATGGCAAGAATATCCTTTGTTTTTTAATTTCAGTAAATGTAAACCATATAAACACAGTTTAAGTACAAGCTGGTGAAACCTTTGCATCCTCTGCAATCACTTTAAGGTTGAGCCTCCTAAACAATCAGCACAGAGCACACACCACTTCCCAAGGGGCCATTAGAAGCAGTTGTTGACCAAGCCCATGGAGAAAGAGAATAAAGAAGAAAAAAGAAAAGAAAAACAAAGAAAAAAGGTAACAAACCCTGTGCTGTGATTCTCCTACTATGTGCCAAGTGTTCAGGTGGAATCATTTGATCATAACACCATTTATCACGACAACTTTAGAACGCTGCTAAGTGCATAGTAACCTTCCACTCCTTTCAGAAAATGTGATAAAAATCAAAGAAAGCACTTTAGATGAGGAATTCAGCTTCTAGCTCTCTAATAAGGATCCGGAGGCTTCAGTTACTCTGCTCTAACCTTCTCTTTCTACATTATGAAAGACAACCAAGAAATCTGACTACATAATTAATCTGTAAGAGCTAATGCCTCCTATGGAAGAGTTTGGAGGAATCTGAATACAGCCTCCGGTTTGTTAGATACGGAAAATTTACACCTTCTTGACCCTTGGGGCATAAACCTGAATTTAAGTGAACAGAACAGAAACTTCCCCCACAAGTAGGTTAGTCCCACATTACTTATTTGGAGAGCATTCACTCTGATTCACCTTGTGGTGGACTTTGCAAGAAACATACCACTGTAATTCCCAACACAGGGCAGCTCATTAAGGTGCCATAGCTCATGTTTGTGCCCGAGACCTAAGCTGCATTGAAAGACAATAGAATTTGGATCCCCAAGAGGCTTTTGAATGCAGGACATTGAAACACCGTGCACAGAACTGTCAAAAAACTTTAAAACAAAATAAGACGTCATCCTGGTCATACAATTTAATGTGAGACATTATGTAGCTTATGAAGAAAAATAAAAATGGTATAATAAAAAGAGCGCATGGCGAGGAAGGACAAAGGTTCTGGTAATAAGCAGCAGCAGATGGAGACTTCTGTATAACACAAATCTTTTATGCAAGCCCACTTCTCCATTAATTAAAGCAGTGGGCAAGTGAAAACAAATATGTCTCAGCATAATTGTCTCTAAATAGACTTTCAAAGTTTGCCATGTGAGGTCTCAGCAGACCTTTAAATGTACGGGTCTTTATTCAGAAAAAAAAAAAAATCAGTCACAATTCCAGCTTTTTTTGCATTCAAAATTAGAACAAAACCATTATTTGAGATAGAACTGACTGATTGCCTTTGGAGCCTCCCCCTCCCCCATGCCCCCAGCTTTATGATTTAGTATCTGGCTAAGGAAAACTATATTTAATTAGGCTCATTAACCTTGCAGTGTGAACATGTCTTTTTTTTTTTTTTTAAATAAGTCATCTGCTAGTCATCTGCACAGTCATGTGGCTTCAGGGATAAAAGTAATTAAAGCAGTTACACTATATCTAATTAGCCAATATTCTGTAATCACTCTTGAAGTTTACTTTTTCCTCCGAAGACATTTGAAAACCTTTAAAAATCATACTCAAAATCTGAACAGGAAATTCTCCTCCTCCCCTTGAGGGGCATGAATCCAAAAAGACTAAGCATTTCCTCAGAAAACAAAATATAAAACTGTTTCACTGCTACAATTACATAAACATCTAAGGTACCTAATACATTCCTCATAAAACAGACTCGATTTTTTCAGAAGCTTTAAAAAAATATATATAGTATCGATGGTATCCCTTCAGGTGGTGAAAGAGAGAGCTGGAGAATGCCTGAGGCTGCAGTTTCACAACCATTTGAAGGCCATATAAGCCAGCACTCTCCCAAAAGAAGCTGTCCCCCAACTGTTTATTCCTCCTCCGTGCCAGAAACAGCAGGTGGGCTCCTGCTCTTACCATGAGCACAGGATAAACTGGGTAAGGGAAGTGATGAAAGCTATTTTTCCCGCAGAAGCTAATATGAAACTATGTCCTGAATCTTTAGAGGAGAATTACGGTATTTGGCTGAGGACAGGCTGAATCCAGCTGGCCACGCATAGCTGAACGATAGCACAGAAGATGGAGAAAAGGCTTCAGGATCAGATCTTGTTAAAGAGCTATATAAGATGAGTTACCAAATAAGCTGACTAAGGTTTGGGTTTGGTTTTTTTTTTTTTTTTGGAGATAGAGGCTGTAATTATTTTCCCCTACTAACTCTTGCTATAGACCTATCTTATTTTCAGATGTATCCTTCTGAGAAGTTAAGTTTCCAAGCCATCAGCATTCAGACCCTCCAAGGAAGGCAAAGGCACGAGCCCTGATCTGGAAATCAGCTCACGTTGTCTTGTAACGTTACAGACACCACAAAACTGACCACGAATCGCGTGAAGTGGATCACCCCTGCTCTGTGCTCCAGGTGGGCATGCCATACCATTACCTTTTTACCTTAAGACAGAAGCCAGGCACCACATTACTACTGCCTGGGGAGATGGCTGTGGTCAGAGCCTCAGCAGATACTGCAAATCAGGTGAGCATGGACTCATGCCAAACTACCCTTGAAAGCACAGACTGTGATAGTACCTCCCAAAGCATTTTGAAAGCTGCTGACAAGCCGTTTTTTAGGAAGCGGGTTGTTCCACAAGCTGTAGAGCAATAGGAGCTTGGTTTCCTGTAGATGAGTCCTCTGCCTGTTCCCTCTCTTCCCCTGCTCCAGAAACCTTCCCTTACCCCAAGAACCCAGCTGTCTGTCATGGTCCTCATGACCATGGAGTAAGACAGGACACTGTTATTTGCATAAAGCCAAAAAAATGTGTAATGAAAAAAATATGCAATTGCCAAACTGTGCCTGCCTTTCCCCCAGTGGAGGGACTAATTTGGTCACTCCATCCAGTGACCAGTTTCCCACAACTTGTAGGAACTCACTCACCTTCAATATATCTGTCTTTCTTTCAAATTTGATTAAAGCTAGCCCCAGCAGGTTCAAAAGGTATTAGAGAGGAAACAATGAAGAAACACAGACAATGTACAGGCATTACTGCCTTAGGAAAACAGCTAAAACCAGCTATTAATATATTAGAACAGGATTATGCTGTCTTGAAAAGGGATGCAACACTTCATTATCTAAATGCCACTTACCAACAGGCTACCTCTCATATGTAAATGGCTCAGAAATACCAATTATAATTAAAAATATCAATTGAAACATAATGAATATATTTCTGGCCCTTCAACTGGAGGGGCTGAGCAATGTGGACAGATTTTTTATTTTTAGCATTCATGAACATACTTTGGAAAACAACAACAACTAATTATTCATTGCTCAAAGAAATATATATATATA